AGTTATAAGATTTACCAACAGGTTGCAGCACTATTATTTTTGTCATGAATAAAAACAACTATTGAACTAAGCAGCAACGAACAACTGTGATACACAATGAGAACTGTATAAGTAGGATTGTTTACAGTTATATATACAGTATATATTTTTAATTTCATGAATAATTTGTGATAATTTACAAATTTATTGTTTTCTATTGTTTAGGTGAAGTGGTAGAACATTATGGCTATCGTAGATGTGTAATACTATAGTATACAGTAAATTTAAGTACCGGTAAGCAAATTTTATCAAACTGTGTCCTCCCCCATTTCAAACGTAAAGCTCGAGTATAACTGCAACAAGCATTTTATACTTATATGCCAACCCCGTACGAAGGACGGGTACTCTGCTAGTTACATATAGTTTTTTTCCGTCAACGTAAAAAATGTATATGAAACACGTGGAAATGAAATAAAATGTTTTTAGTAATAATAAGAAAATAATTAAGTAAGGAATCAACTCATGCTTTAACCACGCAACATCATAATACAGTACACACTTGACAAACATATTTTCACATTTCCTAATTCTTAAATTGTAAACATTGAGCAATAATAAATGCTGTATATAATATACATTTAAAAAGATTATTTGGATTTTATGGTTAAATAAACGCATTGAGAATATTCCTGATTTGATGGTGAAGGACTCTTTCCTGTAAAAATAGTTTAGAAAGTAAATAGGGTATTGGTTAGTTTCTTCAGAAATAAACGTAAAAAAGCTCACACTGTTTATGTCTGCGTTTCACACTGCTGGTTTTAAATAACAAAATTGACATTGAAGTAGTACAGTTATTCAATGAACGGTCGCTTGAAAAGTTACACATTTAAATCTACCTATCGTTCGCAGAATATTAATACGTAGAACTTAAAAGTTTGCAAGAGAACCTAATTCTAAGTATAGTATCCACTATTCTCAGAGTATTGACTAATGGAATTCGTCTGTAATTTGGAGACTATTAGTTCGTAGAATACAACTGTATTTATAGCGGGAAGTATTTTTTTGTAAAATAGGCCTAGCTTAGACTTCCCTACTTCAGGTATCCCTCCCAAGAATACCAGAACTAAATACGTTTGTATAACATAGTTAAGGAAAAGTTTAGTTATAAATTTAGTTGTAGTTAGTCTATTTACTAAATAATAAATCCAACTAAAATGTAACATGCCAATAGCTAGTATTTTTAAAGTCAGTTTCATCTTTTTACTATAATTCGTACATATAATTCATAATTATCAGTGTTATCTAGCCTATGTAGATAATTAATTTAGTAAGGGGTTAGTTTGTGAACAGAGCGCCTCATAGAGTTTTAAACAGATTATGAAAATGTTAATGCAATTTGTAAAAGATATACTCTGAAGTTGCACTAACAATAAAATCAGCTCAAAATATGGTAGGGGATTTTTCCCAGTGTTTTCTAGAGACCTGCTAGACCGGTTCACATTTTTATAACCCTCAAAATGTTTGTACCTATATCGACATAGACTACACACATTCCAAAAACATGACATAACTTTCATGGCATAAACTTATACTTACACTGATTTGATTTCAGACAAATCTTGATTTTACCCAAGTGTAGAAGTATTAGAGATGTATAGTTTAAATCTACAGATTTCCTAAAGTTTACGGTAAGAAAAAAACAACATTTAAAATTGAAACAGTATGTGGGCAAACACCGACAATCAATATTTAAGTATAGTAACTACTTGTAACATAAAAACGTCAATGACAGTTTGAAACCAGCTGTTAGTTAAAACAGCGTCTGAAACGACTTTAAATTATTAGTGTCGGCTGCTAGATAAAAAAAAGAAACTAAAAAATGAAATCATGGCATTGGCATTCCCTTCCTTTGAAAATTATCTTTATTTCAACACAAAAATCACGAAAATCGCAAAAGTGGTTGATTCAGAATCTTGAAATGAAAAAACCCTGACACGTTTAAAAATATAATATATATCACAATTAATTGCACACTCTAGTGGAAATCGATGAAACTCACCCATATGAATTCTTGCTTACCCGTTTACTTTTCCACTCTTTGCGTTTTTGTACATGCCAAGCAAATCTTATAGCATTACATTTAAAACAATTGTATTAAAAACTTCCATACATTAGAAGAAACAGTGACTCATCCATTTTCCCCGTTTCAAAATATTTGTGCGCAATCTTGGCGACTTATGTTCAGTCTCCAGCATTGTGGAGGTGTTCGCAATTCAGACACACCCTTTCCCATAGTCCGATTATGCTGGTTCACGAACTCGTTCTTATAAACTTAGGCTTACACGTTTGTACCAAATCTCATGAAAAATTTGCAGCATTGTTGCCCGAGTTACCGCGCTCACGGTCACATATACAGGGTGTATATAAAGTCCCGCATGGGCTTAATATTTTCTAAACGGCAATAGATAAATCAATAAGATTTGGGACATAAACACCATACCTAAAAATAATGTTTTGTAGACTGTCAGTTTTCTATCATATCATGGGGACATCCCGCAAGGAGTCAGAAGGAAATCTTAAATAAGAGCATAGGTTGATATGTACAGATAACCTTAGGCCTAATAGAGTAAAACGTTATTTTTTGTATTAAAGCCATGTTTTATTTAGGACACAAAAGATTTTTCTTTTTGCTTTCTTTATTTGTTGTGATCTTGGTCTTTAATGTTTACCAGGTTTTTAATGAGTTATTTGTTATCAAAAATGATTTAAGGAAATATATTTAATTATTTACTTACACTATTTCTTACGTAGTTAAAATGACTAAGTATTTAATTTGATAATTCAAAATATTATCAACATATTTTACAAAATTTTCCCATGTAAGAAGGCGTCCAAATAGGTAAAGGTACTACAGTAGCAAAATCTGTATAAAAAAAAAAATAAAAAACAACAATACGAAACGGAACACACCAAATTTAAAGTGCTAAAACCTACGCTACAATAAATTAACAGCATGTTTTATGGTACAGAATGTTCAGTAATTTGTTCTAATGATGAATTTGGATTGGTGAACCAAGGCTTAAAACGCCTTTAGTTTTGTAAAAAATATTAACCTATTGACAATGTAACTTTATGAAAATGTAAGAATACTTAATATGATGAAAGCCGATCTGCAAGACCCTTGCAGTTGCCTGCAAGACCTGCAAATGCTTGCAGCATTTTTGAAATCGTTATTTCATTGTGTTTAACACACTATTTTAATTGCACAACAACTGCCTGTGTGTAATATAAATTATCAACTCAGTTCACTATAACCTACACTTTACCTTCCTAATCTAACCTAACTTCAAAACACTTAATACAGTCACGAATCCGCATAAGCCCGACTTGCCTTCCACACATGCCTAAATAAAATCATTCTGAAACAAGTTATTCAGTGCCGTGTGTTGTTGCTTAGATGTTTGTAGCACATGTAATTTAAATGACTTGATTGACTTATTTTTATTCTCTTCTCTTCAATTTCGTATTTTCATTTCATTTTCATTTCAGGTTCAGTATAGTTGTACAAGAAGTAAGTAACAGTTAGTCCGTTCCGTAATTCCGTAATGCGGCAAGCAGTAGCAGACTAGAATAGAAGGTAGATAAAGGAAATCAAAACGACAAATTATCTTAAGTTACCTTAGTTAATATTCGTGGCCTCGGAGACATTTTTGCACTGTTATTTCCTGGTAAAAAGTCAATCTTCTACTTTAATTACTTACAATTAACGTAATATATCAAGTATCTAGAGAGAACATTTCATAGGCTTATAAATAGGTTAGGTCAAAAAAACAAAGTAGGCCTACCGGTAAATAAAACTTAAAACAGCCGTAACTTCGTTAATATTTGAGAGCGCGGAAAAATGTTTGCACCATTATTTTCAGCTAAAAATCTAGTTTCTAGTGATATATAAATCTATAAAGGTTCCCATGGTCACGTTCGTCGCAATAAATACCGTATGTTATAGTCCTTTATATTCTGAACAAAATGGTACAAATCCCATTTCAGTAAAAATTACGGTTCAAAAGTTATTGTAAATAATGTCATTTTCCCATAAAATAACAGAAAAATCGGATTTTCCCAAAATTGGCCCGAACGATTTTGATAAAAATGTTGTATGTTATAGTCCTTAAAATTCTGAACAAAATTGTACAAATCCCATTTCCGTATATTTACTCTCACCGCTTACACATGATAAAGGTTGTTGACAAACTTATGGGAGAAACTATGTGTCAGAATGCTGATAGGCTACCGTTTATTTTATATTGTTTAGATGCAGGGGTAGAACAGAATGGCTATGGTAGATGTGTACTATACTGTATATACAATACTAAGTAATACTATAGCATACCGTAAAGAACCAAATTCTCTCAAGCCTTATCCTCCCCCATTGCAAACGCAAAGCTAGAGTAGCCTATAACTGCAATAAGCATTTTATACTTATACGCCAACCCCGTACGAGGGTACACTTCCATATCTGTTGGCACAAACAACCAAATGAGTAATATTGATTAATTGATTGTTAAGTTCGATATATTGTTTGGTTAGGTTAACCTTACCTAAATAACCAAACGATATATCGAATAATCGATATTTTCATTCGGTTGTTTGTGCCAACAGATATGGAAGTGTACTCCCGTACGAAAAACGGGTACATCTGCTAGTCTATTATAAAATTTAACTATCATAGCCTAACCTAACCAACCAAACTTGCTGGATGGTGAAAAAATCGTATGAAGGTTTACTAATCGAATCGATAGTTTCAATCAATATTAGCGTAGCCCAGTTAAGAAACTGTACTTATCTCCCTTGCCTTGTCTGCTTATAGGAAATTAATCATTCTCATTGAAAAGTAAGCAAAAAGTGCAATATGGAACCATAACCTAAAAGCTTAACCAGGGTAGAATGTAAAAACATAGCTTGTGGAAATGCCAAATCAATATTTATTGCATCTCAAAAAATGTGTAAACTTTATAAATTACCTGATTCATTGTTTTTAGAAAATTTGTGATATTTCACCACGCCCTGTAGTGTACACTGTTAAATTTAACTTTCATAGGCTAGAAAGAGTAAAGTAAAGCACGGCCAGCACGGGTCACGTCGTCACACTAGGCTCAGGCAGGCTGGCATCAGCGGCGAATTGAAAGTAAAGAAGCCGCACTCAACCAACGTTCTGTACCCACGAGCACCTTAGCTTCCACAAGCACAGGCCTTCGAACAGTTCCTGGGATAACAGCTATTTGTGTAATAGCTTCACTGTATACCTTTATGGGAACGCGCCAAGGCGCCACCACGTCAACCCGCCATCAAGTCAACCCGCCATCAAAAAGAAGAAGAAGTTTGAGGTGGCGGGTTGACGTGGTGGCTCGTTGTCGGGGTGGCACGTTGACTCTAGCGTGCACGACAACCTGCCACCTCGGAAAAATGTGTGGTGGCTCGTTGTCGGGGTGGCACGTTGACTCTAGCGTGCACGACAACCTGCCACCTCGGAAAAATGTGTGGTGGCGGGTTGTCGTGGTGGCACGTTGTCCTGGTGGTGCTTAGACATGTTCATACACGTCAACCAGCCACCTCTTTAGTGTGGTGGCGGGTTAACGTGGTGGCTGGTTGACGTCTACGTGCGAGGTGGCGGGTTGACGACACCGAACATTGAGCGTACACGACAACCCGCCACCTCATAAAATAGTGATGGCGGGTTGACGTGGTGGCACGTTGTCGCTTACATGCGAGGTGGCAGGTTGACGAGAGTTAACATGGGGCGTACACGACAACCCGTAATCTTTGTTGGCAAAAGCCGCTGTTGTCTGTGTATTATAAAATGCATCACTTTTTGCAGTTTACCTGGACTTGTGTTATCTAGTTTACTGTTAAGTTAACTAGACATTAGTTATTGTGAATTCATTAATTTTTGACTCGTTTTCCTAAAAAGATCTGCCATAGAAATAAAGTACACGCGCATCTACGCAAGACAATTTTTCCTTTTAATCAACGGTTATTGTTTAAAAAAACTTTTTTAAGATAAACTCACTACAAATTAACGACTTAGGGTCATTCTAGAATTAAAATAACAATATTTGTTATGTTTTCGCATATTTTTATTGAAGACAAAATCATGAAACTTTAATAATTATTTTGAAAAATAAGTTATTAGTTTCATATGATTTTTTGTAGGTGTATACCTGGTATAATACCCACTAGATAACCTGTTGCTCGAAATCGAGCAAAACTGCAACTTGTAATAAAAAAAAAATAAACAACAAAAACATAAACAGCAAGACCTCAACCAAAGAGTAATTCTAAAGTCTATGACTGATTATAGAAATGTAAAAAACAATTATGTTGTAACAAATTATAAAACTAACCTACAATATTTAATATAGATCCGCTCTCATACTGCTTTGGTCATCTCTCATGTATTGTGGGTGGGTCCCCACTATGAGAACGTAGATGTCAACCACACACTGTAAAGTGAGCATTTCCGACCTAATGTTGCAAGCCAAATCCCTCTCTTGACGCAAACCAGTACGACACGTAATATAGCACTGTTAAATTATTTCTACGATAGGTTCTGTTTTAAGCGTGTTTAAATTAGGGGCCCCAAACAAAGTCTCCAGTTGGGAACATTGGAGGGCAAGCAAGTGGATCTACCGACGGATCTAGAACGGATTCGTGTTAACATTATTAGTTTTTGAAAAAAAAGAAACTAAGATTTATTTTGTTTGGTGGTCCTCTGTTTTCAGCTTTAAAAATAGCGGCGACATTTATACAGGTCGCATCAATGTAGCGAGGAAAGCCAATTATTTTGTCTCTTATTATGTACATAAGAATATTCCTTATATAACTCATCGGAGCTATCGTCCCTACACATTTCTGCCACAGTTTTAAAAGATTGGGCAAATGTGTTGGCAATGTGACCCTATTTCCCACATATTTTATCATTGAATTAATCTTTCCTTTCAAGTGTCATGGATCTTGAAATTGTAGATCCCCTGTATGATCCTCTCATCTAAATGAGCTTCAGAGCTGACCATGGCAATGGCGGAATTGAATTGACGAATTTTATTCTAATAACTTCTAGATCCAGGCCTCACGGCGCTGATTTCAGATTGGGAATTCCCAATAAGGTCCTGAAAGTATGGTGAATTTCGCAGATGAGGTAAATGGTTCTCTCATTTATGGCAACAAAGAGTAACAATTGAACTGTATCGGCCAGACTCTTTTTTTATGTAAGCCACCACAATGTGAACATTTAACGTTCATTTGTCCAAGGTTAGATGTATCCAACACGATGGTTGCCACTCTGTAATCTTCAAATGATACATTGGGAGATTGATGCAAGCGGCCACGTTCGCGTTTCCTCCAGCCACTCACAGTCTTCGTCTTACTGGTAGCATATTATTTTAAATTTAGATGAATTACGAAAGTTAACAAAACAACAGAAAACACTACAACGGAATTGTTATACACATTGTAAATTACATGATATTGTGATGTAACTGCACTGGAAATAATCACTTTCAAACATTCATTTCATCACACCAAACTGTCACCAAAACAACACGATAATTCGGTAAAATATGATGTAAGGTTGAATGTATAAATACATTCAACTATTTACAAATAATTTGTTGTCACGTCTTGATAGGAAACTCTTTATTTAAGAAACATATATAGTTAACAGATGTTTAGATAAAAATATAGAATTCCGGCTTTGCTCTGGAATAAATAAGTCCTGCAGTCTATGGTCAAACTTAAAAACTAAAAAGAATTAAATATTTACGAGGTGTTAGCCCGTCCTACGTACGGGAGTAGTCAGTTAAAACGGCGTAGGGCTATAATTCAGAACAGCTAGTTTACACGTATAAAGACAAATTTTATTGCAGCCTACAGTAAAAAGAGTAATTATCAATTGAGAAGTGTATAGGCCTAGTCAATGATATCACCTTCCATCGCATACCTACCTCTTCCATAATCAATATCACCACAATACAATTACTCATACTATACACAATTTCCAGTAGGTCTGAATTGAAACTCCCTAAAATAAAACGAAAACATCCAATAACATTCACAGTACACACAGTTATAACGTTGGTGTCCTGACATCATTAAACGAATCGTCCACACACATCCTTTATGTCAATTTCACTGCATCAATTGCTAAATAAATAAAAAGTAAACACAACAACATATTAGTTTGTTTTGTAAATAGCTGAGTCAAAAATAATATTCCTTTGAACAAAAGAACAGGTCACATGTTGAAGGAATTTAAAAAGTAAAAACGATAGTAAAGCTAGTGACGTAATTAATTGTCTATGTTTATTATCTATTCCGTTATCAGTTCCAATATCCTTGATAATTAAACCACCCTCATTGAATCAATGTATATCGTAATTCCCCATTTCCATTTATTTAAACTATAAAATATTCAGCGCCAGTAGGGTAAAAATGAGAGAGCTAGCACCACCGTGTTATTAAACGGCTGAGAGAACTGGCACGGGGAGAACGTACATGGGTGAGAGAGCTGGCACGGTGAGAGAGCTGGCACACGGTGTCGAAAGTTTCCGTCGGCGTGTCGGGGTGGACGGTTGAGAGAGCTGGCACCGCGGAGGCTGGCACACGGGAAAGGTGTCGGTGGTGTGTCGTGGTGGACGGACGAGAGAGCTGACACCGTGGAGGGTACAGGTGTGACAAGATGTATTATAAATATTTAAATTAACATTTTGATTTTTAAGGTGGTGATGATTAACTCGCAAACGCTTGTCGCTTTTGTCAATTAGTGTTGAGTGTAGATAGTTTTCCAAATGCGTGGAGTAAATAGAGTGTTTAATTGTTAGCCTGATGTAAGGAATAATGGATAAATAAAATGTTTATATAGATTAATTTAAAAACGATTATGGTGGAATCGCAAGCGATTTTATGGCATGCGCTCGTATATCATTTAACGTTGAGGTTGTTTCCACAAATATGTGACATATTTTGTTTGGGAATTTGTGTTCGAAACTTATATTTTAAAAACTACCATGTGATTAAAAAAATATATATATAAAATATTAGTTTCATCTGTTTAAAAAATCTTAGGACTGACATATGTTGTATTTTAAAATAAGTTAAACAATTTACAGATTGTACAGTATTTAGATAAGCGCTTAATGGATTTGCATCGTGGCTTATCGTGACGTTGCAGAAAACATGCGATAGTGATAACTGCGAGTGCATCATCAATTCATTTGAGTCAAACAACAGATAAGATGTCTAATTTATATACCAATTATTTGTTTACAATCTGAAGCAAGTCTTTATACTGATATCGATACGAGGTAGGTTGTGTAGGTCATGTTTCAGGTTGACGAGCGGTTATCGTCTCGGGCTTCGACGCCACGGGACCGGGTTCGGGACTGACGAAGGTAAGTATATTAGGATAATTTATTTTTACTATATTTAATTGTAATTTATATATGTAATAAAAGAAATGTTTTTGAGTTTAGTATATATTTATTCACAATAAGCAGTAGTACTACAGTATAAAAAATGTCTATTATATATCATGTTAAACAATATTATCTTTTTGAATCCAGGAGTTTTTGGACGAAGGAAAACCAAGCCATTTTACAAACACTTTATCATCCTTCTTCTTGAGAATCTTTTCGACTAAGTAAACGTCTTTATGTTTAACCTTAGTTAGCTCTTCTTGATAGAATCCTCCGGCAATGGGTTGGTTCTCGGCATCTACCAACTTGTAAGTGACGGGTTCTGTCGGAACTACTTGCGTGATGCGAAATATTTCTGTGGAATAATTCGGAGTATATCCCTTGGCGAATTCCCCTTTATATTTGCTAATGCGGACGTAGTCGTTAATTTCAAACTTAGGTATCATTCGTAGTTTGGGTTGTTTATATGAATAAATGGTCTTTAGTAATTCCATTTCATTCTTCTTTGATACGTCACACGGCTTCATTTTTATAGTCGAATGTTTCTTTGTATTGTAGAAGTCCATTAGTTGGTCTAGTATGTCGATCCAATTGTAAGTACCATTAATTGTAAATTTTTTCCACATAAAATTTTTTAACGTGCGATTAAATCTTTCTGCCACGCTCGACTTTAAAATGCTGTAGGTAG